ATTATATTTATTTTAAGTACTGGAATCAAGATTGATTCGATTAATTGATATAATTCTCTATAGACAGGATTTATTTTCAACATGTTAACTCCATTTGAATTGTAAAATATAAATCGTAATTTATTTGAATAATAAATATTAATATTAATTCTCATCGCTCCTTTTTGAAAATAATTTATAATGCGTTATATGTTTTTTTTTCGTATCTTTTGATTTATTAAAAGTTAAAATATATATATATGATAATATTACAATAAAATAAAATATAATTATATATCAATCTGCTTGATAGAAATTATATATTTTATTACAAAATGTTATACAATTATCTTTATCGAAAGAAAAATTTCGGCCCGAGAGATATTTATTTATCACCGAAACATTGTCGCCGAGAGGATCATCGGCGCAAAGAAGAGATTTATTCGACGGCGAATGTTTGCGCGAATTAAATCGGCCGCGTGCCTAGTGAAAAGGATATGTCTAACGAGATTGTAAAATCCGCCAGGATAATTGTATTCGCGCTCAATTTAAACTCTCGTTGATAATCGATGGTCGTTAAATTGCACAGTGCTCTACGTGTGTCGCTTCCGGTTTTAATTCTACTTAACGAGCGGCTGGCGTGGACCGATGCGCGATTTAATGCTCAAACAAAATGCGCTGCATCAAATTCCGTTTATGATATAATTGAAGCCGCGTTTTCGACTACACGCGTTTGCGTATTGTCGCAACACACGTTTGTTTGTCTCGTTGCTCGTTCGCAAATTTTCCATATCAATCCCCGCCGAAAAAGCGTGCGGTAAAAATTTTATATTGGCCTGATTTAATTGAGTCAATGATTCGGATTTAATAATTGGCTAATCGGTTAAAGCGCAAAACGATACATCGGTTTTGCGACAACAATTTTAAATGAGATCTATAATGATTATTGAACGAGTCAGTGTCATGATAGGAAAAAGAAACTATAGAATTTTTATTTTTATATTTGTAAGATTTTCCGAAAAATTTATTAATTTATTTTAGAGATTTATACTCTAATGTAGACTTGAAATTATGTGATTTTCTATTATAGTCATAATTTAATATTTAAAATCTCTGTTTTTCAAATTTGTTATTGAAGGTTTTGCTAAATAAGTTTAAAGCTTGATATTTTTGTAAATAAGATGTTTTGCAATTTTATTAAAAATTAGTGCGTTTTTAATTCATTTATTTACGATAATTAAATTTCAGAATTTTTTGGCTATCTCATTACACATTTTTTATGCATGCAAGGAATATTACTATACTTGAATAAGTACAGGAGAAAAATTTTTGAAATATGTTTTATTAACATTAGCTCATTGTTACGTTACTTTGAACTGGCAAATTAAGAATAATAATATCTAATGAAATAATTTATAATTATGCATTATAATTATGATAATACTCTACATACGTACGTAACGTAAATGTTATATGTACTTGTATTTTAAGTATCAAAGGATATTCCCTTTTCCAAGGGAGAGATACATATCCGTAAATCTAATTTTTCTAATAATGAAAAAAAGTGTAATGCTCTAACTGCTAATTAATTCTCTAGAATAATTGATAAATGTTCCAAATATTTATTTTTTCGATTTTTATTGATGTATGAGACAAAAAGATTTGAATCCCGTCTCTTAAGACATGTTGAAAATTTCGGATGCTTAAATCTATATTTTTGAAAAACGAAGTATACTTACGATACTCCACGATAATATCGAAGCCGAGCATCGCCGTGAGCAAAAGTCGCGCGCGGAAGTTTCGCGCGAAACGATTTGAGAACCGTCGCTTTAAAGCCCCACTTATCGAGCGCCTAGTTGGTATGATAATGTAATAAAATAAATGGAGGTTGCTGCTTCCGAGCGATATAGTCCTCCACCCTCTCTCTCTCTCTCTCTTTCTGCTCTCCCCCTTCGTCCCTTTGAAGCTCCGGAGATCGCTGTACACCCTTCCTTCTCTTCGCTCTCGCTCGCACCTCCCTGTTCGCCACCATCTCGTTTTGGTTCGCGAGATCGGCGGAGCAGAGGGAGAACAGAATCGAGAAGATAGAAGGGAATGGAGAGAGCTCACCTCGAAAGCGAAATACAACAAGTCCCGCCGCCATTGCTGGGTCACCCTTCAGCGGGAGTTTTGTCGTCGCGTGGGTGGGGGGTTGACAGCCCCGTGCGACGAGAGTCAGTCTCACCCTTCCCGACCGACCCGATCGAGCCTGGCGCGACCCCGGTTTCCCGGAGAGGCAGCGGGGGAGACAGGTCGAAAACTCCGCCCCCGCACATCCGCGGAAGCGAGTCAATACTATCACGCTGCTCGCCTTCCGTTCCCAAGCGTGCCGCCATGCCTATGCTCGCCTTTTCTCCTCGGAGGATGGATATTGAAATTCGTTACCGGCTGCGCAACCCCCGCGGGACTTGCGATCGTGAAAGGGTTCGATACAGGTGTCTTGTAGGAAGTGTCGATTCGTCGTCCCACTTTTGACGATGCTCTTTTAATCCTAGTTCACGCGGAAGGGAACATTTTGTGCATGTCTGATCATTATAGGCTTACACTACTGAAAAATAAGTCGTTTCTTTTTAAGTTGTTTCGATTGTCTTGTAGGAAGTGAAGACGATGGGAGAAGAGGGTCGTGAAAGGGTTCGATACAGGTGTCTTGTAGGAAGTGTCGATTCGTCGTCCCACTTTTGACGATGCTCTTTTAATCCTTAGTTCACGCGGAAGGGAACATTTTGTGCATGTCTGATCATTATAGGCTTACACTACTGAAAAAAGTCGTTTCTTTTTTAGGGGTGGCGAGAGGGAAAAGGGGGTCGTGAAAGAGTTCGATACAGGTGTCTTGTAGGAAGTGATTTGTCGTCCCACTTTTGACGATGCTCTTTTAATCCTTAGTTCACGCGGAAGGGAACATTTTGTGCATGTCTGATTATTATAGGCTTACACTACTGAAAAACAAGTCGTTTCTTTTTTAGGGGTGGCGAGAGGGAAGAAGGGGTTGTGAAAGGGTTCGATACAGGTGTCTTGTAGGAAGTGATTCGTCGTCCCACTTTTGACGATGCTCTTTTAATCCTTAGTTCACGCGGAAGGGAACATTTTGTGCATGTCTGATCATTATAGGCTTACACTACTGAAAAACAAGTCGTTTCTTTTTTAGGGGTGGCGAGAGGGAAGAAGGGGGTTGTGAAAGGGTTCGATACAGGTGTCTTGTAGGAAGTGTCGATTCGTCGTCCCACTTTTGACGATGCTCTTTTAATTCTTAGTTTACTCTACTGAAAAACAAGTCGTTTCTTTTTTAGGGGTGGCGAGAGGGAAGAAGGGGGTTGTGAAAGGGTTCGATACAGGTGTCTTGTAGGAAGTGATTCGTCGTCCCACTTTTGACGATGCTCTTTTAATCCTTAGTTCACGCGGAAGGGAACATTTTGTGCATGTCTGATTATTATAGGCTTACACTACTGAAAAACAAGTCGTTTCTTTTTAGGGGTGGCGAGAGGGAAGAAGGGGGTTGTGAAAGGGTTCGATACAGGTGTCTTGTAGGAAGTGATTCGTCGTCCCACTTTTGACGATGCTCTTTTAATCCTTAGTTCACGCGGAAGGGAACATTTTGTGCACGTCTGATCATTATAGGCTTACACTACTGAAAAACAAGTAGTTCGTACCAGTCGTTTCTTTTTGATATTGATATAGACGATAATAACTTTAGATAGTCTAAATTCTTAACGTGTTCTTTCGTCTTTATTGATATTTTAAGCTTAGGGAAGGTCTTCCGAAGTTACACTTCAATATCGGAGAATTTATTGGAAATAAGAATTTTGAAGGCGTAATATTCGACGAGTTGAAAGAATTCTTTTCGAACCATTTAGCATGAGAAATACATTTCCAATATATTTTATACATATTTTTAATATTTAAATATTAACGAGACAAAATATATCGCAGCTCTATTGTTTAATATTAATTAAAAAATGTAGAAGCTAAATAACAATACATTCAAAATGCAATCTTTACATGTGAAAAAATCACGAGATATATAATATTAAAAATCTACTTAGCGTAATGCAAGTTAGTGAAAGTTTGTCCGACGCAATTTTTACCTTTCCAAACTTGAGTGGAATGGAGTCTACTTGCTTTTACCCCCAATTATTCTCCGCGGTTCGCCGCCTGACTCCGCGCGTTTCGTGGATCCGCTCGAAAAGGCATTAAGGACGCTCACCCCCAGCGCCGGGGCGTTTAACTCCCCGATTGCTTTGACAACTTAAGCAGGCCCTTAAACCTCGCTCGAGCCCCGATGTAATTTATAAGCGGCTGAGGGGGTAACTCCGCCGGGGACCGTCAAACTGCCGTGCGGCAAAACCCTCGTCGGCAGGGGAAGTCACAGGGATTATGCGGTGATAAATAAATATGTACGTTTATGCAACAACCCGCCGTGACGGGGGTTTGCGGGGATGCGGATATACGTCGTTGCGTTCTGTCGCGACCGAAGTCAAATTGCGTTTCGAGGGGCCAAATCCACCCCTTCTCGTCAAATACTACGGCGATCTTTGAACTTTGGGTTCCGTTCGAAGGATTCCGCTTGGACCCTCGCGACTCCTTTTTTTTTGTCAATAAATTATTAATTGAATTTATTATGATATATGTTTTTTTTTATTAGATTAATTTGTGTCTGTAGTCTCGCATATTTTTTCGAAGTTTTATTTGTTAAGTATATTTTGTAATGTTTTGATTTTATCATCTATTACTATCTTCTATTTCTACTTATATAATGGCTATTTATGCGTTAATATTACTTTCGATATTTTCCTTCGCTCGTCGATTGTATGAGCAAAGTTGAGATGCTATAAGTTGAAAAATATTTATTTAAAATCGAGATAATTAATTTTACTTACTTTTGATTAACTTAGATTTAATTAATATAGAAAAAAACTTAGTCTCTCTTTAAAATAATAGGAAATTAAAACAAATTAGAGTGATACGAGACAGTGACGATAGACAAGTTAATCAGATTTACTTTTATTACAAGTAATCGTTACAATACATATCACCGATTGAGAATACGTAGACTTTTACAGCGAATAGTATCACAACACGAAATATACAGAGAAAGTGCGGACGAGCATTCATTTACAGCGCCGAAAAAAATTAACTCCTCACACACCTTCGTGGATCAAATTACTTTCATTAATTATATTATGCAACATTAAATTTTATGAATTTATATTACTGCCTGAGTAATTTTCAAATGCAATTTAATTCTGATTTTGTAATGTATATGTATAGCTATATTGCCACGGTTTATTAATCATATCTCTGATGCATAAATTTGTTCACGTGTAAAAAGACAAAAGAATATTTTAATTGCGTTAATTTTTCAAATAATTTCACTGCAATTTTACGAACATTTATATTCCATAATTGAGTCCTGAATCACATATTTTTCATAAAGTTACAGAATCTGTTCATCGCTCCCGTCACTTTCCTCTCTAATTCGGTAATTTCACGACGAACGTAAGTCAAGGTATAAAAAAAGAGAAGGAAAAATGTAAAAAACGAAATACCTCCGTTTTTTTTTGGATTAATCCGTTAATCTTCTACAAGAGAAACGAAAAAAAACACTCTATCAACGTGTTGGGCCTAACGCCCGATATATATGTCTATAATAAATAAATACATATATTATGTATGTGTCTATGTGTATATTTACGCCGCGATTGAGTGCCCCTCGGTCGATTTTAGTTGCCGTTTTATTCGTTAGTGACGTCATTCTTCCTGTGCTCCGCGTTTGTAGGAATATACTCGCCAATCGAATTTATTATCTTATGATCATCTCGAAGGGACTTAGGACTTTGTCCTTAGGCCTGATCATGATCGGAACAAAGCTGCGCTTTGCTTCTTGATTCTTCCATTTTTTTTTATTTTTAGGAAAGTCTCGTTAGCCAGTCTTTGCTGTCCATTTTCGGTGATTAATTCCGCCTTCCGTAAATCCTTGCTTTAGCGCCAAAGCTTTTGGCGATCCTTGCGTAATTTGCGTTATCAATTTAATTGAAGCAGTAATTCTCGGGAAAAGTTCTCTGATGTCCGAGATGATTTTTAATTTTTGTACATGTCACAGAGGACTTTTTCCATCGGTGTATTGCCGATAGTTCTATGGAAATAAATCAGTTCCACTCTGGCAGCCGGAACCGTTCGCAGCAACGGGAGCAGCAACAGCAACCTGCCAAATCGGGCCGGGCTATTCGGCTGTTGAGCGCGCGCGTGATGTCCCAGCATCAGCTGTGCCTGATCCTGCAGATTCTCAATCTGACTGGAGTCCTTTAAGCCGCGGGTTTCTGCAACAAAAAGAAAATACGCGCGACTCTAGAAATAAAAATCCCGATTTTGCGAAATTGAATAATTAAGCGGATAATATATATTTTCGTGATTATATACGCATCTTTTCAGAAATTAAAAATCAATAAAACTGTTTAAATCATATATCATATCTCTAACAGCACACATATCCCGAAAACGTTCAGAGAACATCCTGAGGATGTTCAAATGTCTTCTGGATTTCCTCTGAATATCTTTTGGATATGTTGTGCTATTAGGGATATGTATAGGGAGGGAGAGGCAGAGATTCTGAATTTTGTAATAATAAAAAATTATACAAATACTTTTTAGATTATATATATATGAGACGTATCGAAAGTCACAAACCTGGGCGGAAGAGAACGATGGCTTTCATGCAGGCGAATTCCGCGGGATCGACCATGACTGCCTTGTATCTCTGCAGGGTATCGTGCAAATGTCTGACATCCGCCGCTACTTGACTAGGTTTTCCCGTGGTGGTTTGCAGATGCAATCCCGAGTGCGGATGCTGATGCGGCGAGAGGGTCAGAGCCGTCAATTCGGCAGCGCTGAAGAGAGGCGATGACTCGAGTGGCAGACACCATTGAACCGCATTTAGGAGAAACAGTTCCGACCAGACCTCTTCCAGCAATATTACCTTAACACGATCAATCGGATATTTATGATTTATTTAAAAACTGATGTATTATCTCCGTATATTTCTACCATTTTAATCATCTGGCTTTTTCTGTTGTTTGATTGATTTTTATTATAATAAACTCGATTTTTATTTTATAAGATTTAATATAATAATTGAACTTTTATAATTTTTTAGATTTTAATTATATCTAAATCTTTTTGAGATTTTTATTACAATTAAATTTAATATCTGTAAATATATAAGATTTCTTTTTTATATATGTATGTATATGAATGTGTCGTTTATATTTTTATTTATCTGATGATCGGTGTTGATAAAACATTGTTTACTGATCTTAATTCTCAACAGCCTATTACCCTATCATTCATCAACGTCAAAGTAAATGAGCAATATAAATAAAAGTGCGTTAAAATATGTATATATGCTACATTTACATATATATTGTAAGTGAATTGCGATCGTAAATTTGGCAAAGCATTACCTGGTCTCTGAATGGCAGACCAGCGAAAGAGGGAAGATTCTTCGCCCATTTGACGGCCATGAAGAGCAGCCTCGCGCTGGTCTCGTAGACCGTTTCGGCACTCGCAGGTGAATATAATGACGGGAGTATTGGTGGAAGCTGCGCGCATCCACTTCGTTGAGGTGTCAATGGCTCCTCGTTCGTTACATCTATACTATCCTCGGATGCATTTCCTATTTAAACATAAAACTCTTTCCTATCTTATGTAAACTCTTTGTAGCAGCTGTAACAATAGCAAGTGATAAAAGCGTGAATGGCGTCGATATAAATTTGCACAAAGATTTGAATTAATAGGATCATCTCTCAAAAAACCATTCATCTTTAATAAAATGAAACAATTTTTGTGCATCTGAAATTTTATATATATATACACATACATATATTAATGAATACTTCTTTTGTTTAAATGTATAAAAATATGTGTCTCTTTTTAAGAAAAAACAATTATTTGTAAAAGAATGTTAATGATTGTTTAAATTATTTGAAATGTATAAGATGCGTACCGTCCTCGTTGTCTTGTCGAGGTGGTGTCGCTGCATTATTTGTAGAGTTTGTCGTCGGTGCGACTGTGGGCAGAGGTAGTGGCGTAGTGTATCTCGCCATAGCTAGGGAGACTGGCGGTCTGAGAAACAATTTATGTGCCGGAAGGATTAAAATATCTGAATGATAAAAAGTAATGATATAATTATCCAGTTTTTATAGAGAATAAAAATGTGAAAGTTTAAAAAAAATTTAAGCAATATTCTTGAATGACATTATTATATTTTTTTTTCATGCCAAAAGAAGGATTTTTTTTAAACATTATATTATTCTGCTTTATATATTAAAAATGAATTTCGATTATAAAGTATCACGCTATAATTTAGTAAATGCAAACTCGATTTTGGCGATAAATCAGAATGAAATAACCACGACCGACGACATCTTCAGTTCGCTCGCGTGCGAGTTTCGTTCGTAGGTTCGTCGTGTTCCGCGTAGCGGAAATTTATGTCGATCTCGGGTAGGTAGGGTCTCGCGTACAGCGATCACGTACGACGAAGGACGCCGTCGATGTTTTCGAGAAATATTGCTTCCGACAAAACTTTTTTTCGCAACTTGCCGATCTCTTCCATGCAAATCTGGTAGTGCAGATGACGTTTCGCGGTAAGATCGCGGTTAGTCCACGGGCGAAGCAACAACGGCGAAGGTAATGATCTCTCTCTTTCTCTCTTTCTCACTCTCTGTCGACACGCGTGTCGTCTTTTAAGAGTATATTTGGCGTCCGTTTAAAAACGTCTAAAAAAAAGGCTCCTTGTACCAAGCAATGAGAGAGCGGATCTGATAATGCGCCGATTTACAACAGCGGCTGAGACTGTTCATAATTCTGGAGGCGAGACCACCGGCACCATTACGACCCTCGAGGGTAAAATTCCGTCGCGATGCCGACGGAAGATCGATGCGGCCGCGCCGACCTCGCCGCGGAAAATGGCGATCCCGGCCGGCAGGAACTTCGCAAGCTGCTACATGGAACTGTGCAAGCAGCAACGACTGCGACCGCTGCCGGTTATATGTGTCACCCTACCGCACAGCCTGGACTTCACCACCGATCGCGTCAAGATGGACGATTGGGGCCCGATCTTGAATTCCCTTTCTCTCGATCGCTCCCTCAAATCGATTAGCATCCACAGCAGGTTGCAAAATAACCGATTACATGCTCTACTAGTTTCTGGCATCTCTTATAATTAGTTGATTTTTTTATGAGATTTTTTAATTATTTTTTATTAATATATTTGGTGGGGTTAGATTATTTAACGTTAATGAATTATATATGTGATGGAACATAGAGAGAATTTTTTATTATATTTTACCCTAAAAATCGTGAGACAATATGATGTTGGAAGAATTTTATATTAGAGTATTCTCTGATTAATATTTACCACGATAAAAATATTAATATCTACCACCATATAAGATATAAAATATATTCGATTAATTTTACTATGTATATATATATATATATATTTTTATATTGTGTATTGGTAAATATTAATCAGAGAAACTCTTATAAATTTCTCCCAATACTATAATGTCCCACGATTACCATGATTTTCAAGGTAAATTCTAAGAGAAAATTTTCTCCGTGCACATGTAAGTTCTGATTATAACATATGATTATCTTTATTCGCGTTATTTAAATTCTTTAAAAAATAATTATTTCTTTTTCTGGAATTTTTATATTATGAAATTTGACATCTAAAGTAAAACAAGTTACTCTAGAAAACAAAATATAGTTCGCCCTCATTGTTTTCGAATTTGTCAAAATCTCGATACGAGAGATGTCGCATCCATATTCATCAGGTATCAATACCGTAAACCCTTGGAGGAGGTAAATTCGGAGGATAAGGCGAGAGCGATGGGCAAAGCCCCGGTGGTCCTCACGCGATATTTGCTGGAATGGATGTCGCAGAGCGTCGGCCAGTGCGTGAGAAATTCGCCCAGCCTCACGCATTTGGAACTCGAGGGCATCCCGTTTCCACCGGACTGCGTCGCGGTGCTCTGCGTCGGTCTGTCGGGCACGGGAACCCTGCACCATCTGTCCCTGCGACGCTGCTTAATCGGGGACACCGGCTGCGAATTGATCTGCCGAACGGTAGCGGACATTCGCAGCGTGAGGTCGTTGAATCTCAGCCACTGCGACCTCACGTCAAACAGCGGCGGCGCTTTGGCGTCCGCCCTCTCCAGACAGAAATTAGCGCTCTACCACGACACGTGGAAGCAATCGCTGAGGTATCGCGAGCCCAACTTCGAGGCGATGCCGGATTACGTCGATTGACCCTGAACGATAATCCGCATCTCGGCAACTGCGCCGTAAGGGAAATGATCGAGGCGATCCGCGACAGTTTATGGATGAAGGCGCTTGATCTCCAGCACTGCGGCTTAACGGATCAGATCGGCGACGATCTGCTGAACCTGCTCGAGCAGAATAACACGCTGGCGGTGCTCGACGTGAGGAAGAACGCGAACCTGAACGACGAGCTTGCGACGGAAGTGATGAGGAGATTGGGGGAGAACGACGTCGAGGGAAAGTCGTCGGAATACAAGTGGATGGGATTGGCGCCGAAGGACAAAAGGATCGCGTCGGCTGGTACCAGAAGATGCAACGAGAACGAAGACGCCGCGAAGCTCTCGAGAGCGCGAAGCGCCTTCACCATGTACGCGAAGAGGACGTGCCAGGCGATTCCTCCGAGGAGGACGCTCCCGATGACGCTTCTGCCGTCGAAGATGAAGATCCGGCCGCCATCGCCGCCGGTCCGCGACATCCCTCAGCAACGACCTAATCTGATTCGATCGCGAACGATCGGCAGCATACAAACGGTGCCCAAGGTGTCTCTTCACCTGAACCTTCAGTCCAGGATACAATCCGCGGTGAATCGCGACGTCGAAGATCGAAAGACAACGTCGGGAGAACCCAAAGAAGACGTCCCGTGTTCCGCGGAAACGAGCCTGAGGAGCTTCGATTCGATCAAGGTGGATGTTGGAACGCAAAGCGTGGATCGGCAGGACAATCCGGAGGAGATTCAGAGTGTCCTCAGGAAATTGGCGGAAGCTCAAGCGGAGCACGATCGTCTTCTGGAGAAAAGCAAGCGGGTCGACCTTCTGCTCGTCGAGGAACGTGCGTGTCGCGAAACCGCCGAGGCGAATCTGCGATCGGCGCAAAACGACATAGCTGTGCTGGAGAACGTTCTAAAGGAGAAGGAGATCGAGACCAGGGGCTGCCTGCTGATCAGCCAGCAGTCCCTGGACGAGATATGCCTGTCCTTCGACCGGCTCCTGGATCTTCTCGAGAATGTCGCCAAACATCCGTTCGATCGGACCCAGCCAAACGCGCAGCAGATCGCTAGCGCGGACATCAAGCGACGACTGGTGTCCGTCATCAGGCAGACCAAGTCAGAGAACCTGAAGAGGGGTTACAAGATGGAATCGCCTCGCGTTTCGCACGTCCTGGACAGCCCGCGGAAGTTCGTCAAGTCCGAGAGCGACGTGAGATCCATCGTACCGATTCCGGCGGAGCATCTCGAGAAGAAGATCGGCGAGTGTCCGGAGACGAACGATCGGCGTCGTCGCGACGTCGACGCGAAGAAACCGATGATGTCGCCCGGCGATCGGGCTCGCGCGATTTTCGCGAGCATCGTTAGCGGCGAGGCCGTGCTTGACTTCTATTAGTCGGGTCGATCGGTTGAATTCGGTGATCGCGCTCGCGAAGGGCAGAGCCGGGTGTAGAGCCTTTAGACCAAGTATTATGGATATATCTTTTTACACGTATATATATATATATATATATATATATATATATATATGTGCACGTTGTGTGTATAGAGAGAACACATGTGACACTGCTACTATTACTACGAGAAGTATTTTCATATTTACTGTAGCACAATTTCTTTTTTCTTTATATATAAACTTTAATCAATCACTCGAACTGTCATAAACATCTAAGTGACGCAGTAAACACGCCGTGAGAAACTCATTTTTAAATATTTATTAATAGATGTCTTTTATACTTTTATGTTGCTTGAGAAGTAAATAATTACTGCTGTCTCGTTTGATAAGACTGCATCGCGAAATCGGAAAGAAACGGTGAGAAAAATTAACCCAGATATGGCTCGTATTTTTTTATTCGTTGAAAAATTCATTTAATCATGCCGTCATCTCAATCTGACATTAATGATAACCGGAATCTCGCACAATGCATTTATTGCTATTGAATCGCATTTTCGATTGAACGAACGCTTTCGGAGCAAAATGAAAGTGACAGACGACGCGACGCGACGCGACACGGGAAATTGCTTATTCAAGTAGAGAACAGATGATCGGGATAATTACTGGGTTAAGAATAGCGGAACTAGTTAGCGTTTCTGGGTAATCGACGAAGTGCGTAATCCGCGATCCGAAGACGACGCGGACAGTCGGGGAGGCAAGATCGATCGCGACGAGGAACGTATAACGTTCCAACCCGTTTATAGCCACATTTTTCTTAGCGCGTTATTGTGTATACATGGAATAAATATCATTTATTACTTCCGTAAAACTTTTCGTTCAAATTTCTTGCCGCGAACAACGAGAATAAAATAGTATTTTTTTGCGTAATTTGCTTAGTCACATTTTCGACCCTTACAATGAATTATAACTTGTAAATTATAGCAAGTATAATATCGAGTTAATATTCATTTGTGTATATAATTATAATTTCTGATTCCTTCAATGATTATGTAGATAAGTCTCTCGGAATTTCACGAGTTTAATCGAGTTGCTGATTTTAATAGAAACGACAATCTATATCAAAATTGTTATATTGAATCAAATATAGCTAAATCATAAGTTATTTCATTATTATTCTGAATTACGTAAAACTACGAGCTCTCTCGCATAAAAATATGTTCATTTGACACTCTGTCCTACCTTCACCATTTATTTTTCTTGTTCACTAAATTAGTTGAAATTAATCGAATTGTGTAAAAAGCATCTGAATCTTCTGTTTTCGATATAGCTTAAAATTCCAAAAATTCCTACATCTTTTCGAATGCGATAAAGCGATGGATTCTCTCTGCTGAATTAATCCGAGAAGCTTGTGTATCGCGAAAGGATTGATCGCGCTTGTGTAATATAACTCGCCGAGGACGACGCGTCGGGACGCCGGCCTGTCGCTTTTAACGTTCACCCCTTGGCGCTCTATGGATTTTCCATTAGTTCCAACCTGGGCAACCGGTTACCTGAAAAACGCTACGCATACTCGGGCTGCTAGTCAAAGGTAATTTTTCATGATAGATCACGCTCGGCGTGTCGCTCACAACGGCGAAAGGTAAGCCTGGTGCGCAGCACAAGATCAAACGTGCCAACAACGTCGCCGGCCCTTGTTGCTCCTGTCGTTGCACCCGTCGACAGGTGACTATCGATCGTCGCCTCCGTCGCCTGCCGCTCTAATCGACCGTGTCTAAGGGCCATTTCGACCAAACTCCGATTAACGCAGTCGTCGTTTCATGGAATTGCGAAAAAATTACAGCGACACTTTCTAAACGCACGCACTCCTCGTTTCTGATTTCATATTTTTCTCCCGATATGTGTCAATCAATGTAATTGATCAATTCTATCGATATTCACAAAATTTTGCAGTTATTAAGTCTGATTAAGTTGATCGAAGCTCGATCAAAGTAGTCTCAAGTGTTGAAATTTTGCTCTCGTGAGATGAATACACACCATTCGATATTCTTGCCCTTTCGATGTAATCGCATTTTTCTGATATATTATCGCTATTATTTGCGCATGTCTCAATCGCCAATTAATCAATGTATAAATAATATTAATTAATTAATTATCTCTTAATGAAACGTTATTTTCTTTTGTTCTTTTTACGTGATTTGTAATGCTGAATAATTGCATCTTTTTTCGAAAGGTATACAAAGGTAAAGAATAAAAATCGGAGATAATAAAAGAGAGGAGTAAAATTAATTATCACTTACCCGAAGACGCCCACGGCGACGGCGGCTTCGCGCAGCGCCCGCTCTTGGTCCATCTCGACGAGCGCTTCCGGTCTAATGGTGGCAGTATTCCTCGGTTGACGTTCATTTTGAACAGCTGCAATATTGCAATCTTGTCGTGTTTATTATAGATATACGCGGCCATTTATGATATCGAAAATTACATAGTACGTTTTAACTTTTACAATTTCTACAAATTGATACTTTTTGTAATATTAATATATTAAAAATTCATATTAAAACTACAGCAAATACTATAAATACTAAAATAAAATAATAAATTAATATTAATACTAAAATTAATATTTCTTTTTCAATAACAATTTAATAATAATTCTTAAATGCAAGAGGTCATGACGGTTGGATCATTGACTTTTGTGCATCATCTGTAATGAATATTTATAGCAAAGTTTTATGATAAATTTGGTGTTTTTCATTGGCGATCGGCACGGCGAGTGTTTTTGCAGGTGTAATGATCATAATAAATCTTTTTTCTTAAGTTCATTGAATCATTAATTCGTCATCGGTTATCGTAAATTTAATTTTGCGATAAGTCACAAGACGAATTTGTTTATGTATCAATTATCTCTACAGATAACAGTCGCGCGATTTTTAATATATGTTGTGTCATTCGCGTAAATTACTGTTTAATTTGCAGTACAGTTATTGTTTAACTAACTGTTAAATTTACAGGTAACTTATCCCTTTAATATCTTTTGTGCGAGATTGCATAGGTCATGCAACGCAAATGCATTTCTCTCAAGCTTGCGCAATTTTTGACGCAATACATTTTTCACAGATGAAAGTGTTGTTGTGTTACGAAATGCCTGTCCCGATACTGTATATAAAAGTCCCCCAGAATTGTATTTTCCATTGTATATCGATTATTATGTAACAATAGGGTGAATAGAACCAGCGTGGTAGATATCGGCAAAGCTCGTATATTTCGTTAAAAACCGAATAGCTTTTCCGACTGATCGATAACGAGAAAAATCAGAGGGCAGTAAAGCTTCTATGATGCATATTCATCGCTTCGTTCGATCGCTCTTTTTTTTTTATTTTTTATTTTTTTTTTTTCGGAAAACGCGACGATCTTTCTCTATTTTTCTTTTTCGAACGAAAGAGGATATTGAAATCGGCGATGCGGTCGGCGAACAATGGGAGCATTGTGTCGCTCGTCGAGGCCGTCGAATTCGCGGATGATTGAAGTATTATTGAAATATTTAGTCGATTTCCCCGCATCTTCACTCCCCCGGATTTACGGGGAAAACGACGGAGCGAGCGGTTGTCTGCCGCCCTCTCGTCAAACTCACGTAACGCCACGTTACGTCACGCCGGCAGTCTGCGTCTGACACGCGTGAATTTAACGGGGCACGCAGTAGCCACGCTTATTGTTTGCAACGCGGTGCACGACCAATCGAGAGTTTCATTCACCGATCATCAATGCGAGAGGATTCCGTGAAAAAGACTTTCCATGGTGAGATGATGCTGTTATACGGTTTTTTATTGACAGGTGCAACAATTTTTCAGAATGAACAAATCTGTATCCTTATCCTTTTTAACGCGACAACAAGTAATATATCGATTGTAAAGCAGCTTGAGTTTTTATTATTAAATTCATGGCATTGTTCTAGAATTGTCTACTATATAAAGAAAACTTCTTCTATATATTTTTGTAAAGGAAAATATCATTTTAGTATATCCTTACATGAAAAATAGAATCGCGGGGATTTATTCTTTGTATCAAATTTATTACGTTCATAATAGAAATTCGGAGAATTAAAATTATTTGTCGAATGAAAATTATGTACTCTCGCAGACTAAAGAGTTATCCGTCGTAATATGAATAAAAATAATATCAATGGCGCGCGCTTGTGTTGTCTAATATATAAAAAAAAAAAAAGAATCGCGAGGATATTCTTAGTACGAAATTAAAAAAATTTCCGTAAATGTCTTGTGTAGAGATATTCACCGATCATCAATGCGAGAGGATTCCGTGAAAAAGACTTTCGATGGTGAGATGATGCTGTTATACGATTTTTTATTGACAGGTGCAATCAATTTTTCAGAATGAACAAATCTGTATCCTTATCCTTTTTAACGCGACAACAAGTAATATATCGATTGTAAAGCAGCTTGAGTTTTTATTATTAAATTCATGGCATTGTTCTAGAATTGTCTACTATATAAAGAAAACTTCTTCTATATATTTTTGTAAAGGAAAATATCATTTTAGTATATCCTTACATGAAAAATAGAATCGCGGGGATTTATTCTTTGTATCAAATTTATTACGTTCATAATAGAAATTCGGAGAATTAAAATTATTTGTCGAATGAAAATTATGTACTCTCGCAGACTAAAGAGTTATCCGTCGTAATATGAATAAAAATAATATCAATGGCGCGCGCTTGTGTTGTCTAATATATATAAAAAAAAAAAAGAATCGCGAGGATATTCTTAATACGAAATTAAAAAAAATTTCCGTAAATGTCTTGTGTAGAGATATTCACCGATCATCAATGCGAGAGGATTCCGTGAAAAAGACTTTCGATGGTGAGATGATGCTGTTATACGATTTTTTATTGACAGGTGCAACCAATTTTTCAGAATGAACAAATCTGTATCCTTATCCTTTTTAACGCGACAACAAGTAATATATCGATTGTAAAGCAGCTTGAGTTTTTATTATTAAATTCATGGCATTGTTCTAGAATTGTCTACTATATAAAGAAAACTTCTTCTATATATTTTTGTAAAGGAAAATATCATTTTAGTATATCCTTACATGAAAAATAGAATCGCGGGGATTTATTCTTTGTACCAAATTTATTACGTTCATAATAGAAATTCGGAGAATTAAAATTATTTGGCGAATGAAAATTATGTACTCTCGCAGACTAAAGAGTTATCCATTGAAATATGAATAAAAATAATATCAATGGCGCGCGCTTGTGTTGTCTAATATAAAAAAAAAAAAAGAATCGCGAGGATATTCTTAGTACGAAATTAAAAAAATTTCCGTAAATGTCTTGTGTAGAGATATTCACCGATCATCAATGCGAGAGGATTCCGTGAAAAAGACTTTCCATGGTGAGATGATGCTGTTATACGGTTTTTATTGACAGGTGCAACCAATTTTTCAGAATGAACAAATCTGTATCCTTATCCTTTTTAACGCGACAACAAGTAATATATCGATTGTAAAGCAGCTTGAGTTTTTATTATTAAATTCATGGCATTGTTCTAGAATTGTCTACTATATAAAGAAAACTTCTTCTATATATTTTTGTAAAGGAAAATATCATTTTAGTATATCCTTACATGAAAAATAGAATCGCGGGGATTTATTCTTTGTACCAAATTTATTACGTTCATAATAGAAATTCGGAGAATTAAAATTATTTGGCGAATGAAAATTATGTACTCTCGCAGACTAAAGAGTTATCCATTGAAATATGAATAAAAATAATATCAATGGCGCGCGCTTGTGTTGTCTAATATATAAAAAAAAAAAAAAAAAAAAGAATCGCGAGGATATTCTTAGTACGAAATTAAAAAAATTTCCGTAAATGTCTTGTGTAGAGATAAACGATCGGCGGCAAGGGTTGGTTAATTTTTCTTCACGCGAGCCAATCAAGCGCATTTGCGAGCTCACGCTCGTGCGGTTTGCGGCACGACGGCTCGTTCTCTTCTTCGTCGTCGTCATCATCATCGTAAACACTGCGGTCGTTAGCGACGGTCGCGTGGCCCTCGAATCCCGAAGGGTTAATTGGAGGAAATAAACGTATGCAACGTGCGGCCGACCGCCCGCGGATATTCGTCCATGACCCTCGATCATTTCTCTCACCCTCTCTGTATCTTTTCCCTGTTTGCGACTTTGCTGGAGACGGTGCCAGAAGGAGATGACACGCGGAAGGGTGTTCCCCGCGGAGAGACCGCCATGCAAATGAGAGAAACAATTGCAATCTGCACGTTCGGATGTCCTGGTGCGAGAATTCGCGCGAGAAATGTTCATAGGCGGATACGAAGGGTTAACGATGAAACCGTACTTGTGAAATACGAGTGAAGGTATTAAGGATCGTTAACGCGTAAATCGTCGAGAGAAACGATCTTTAAATCGTACGAATTCGCAGTACATTTATTAATTTTTTTTTAATTATATATATTTATACCGTGATTTATTTTTTTAAAGAAGATAAAATTGTTAAAAAGTTTTCTATTCGAGTTAAGGATCAAGTAAAAATAACAGGGCCCCTACACGTGCATCAGTGAACAAACGGGCACGCTCGTCAGTTAAACGAACGAAGAAGAAGTCGAGGAAAGAGGGGACAAAAAGCAGACCGGCCTCTCGCAGCGAGGTGCATGCAAATTAAACAGAAATAGAGTGCACGGGGCGTTTATCTCTTGCGGTGCGAGAAAGAGAGGATAGGACAACGAGAAGGAGAGAAGAAACGGAGGCCCGACGAAGCAAGAGGACCCCATTAAGCCGCCCAGCAGGCTGCACGCCGGAGGTAAAGCGAGCCGACACGCTTTTTATTATTACGAAATTACTGCGCGTGCCTGTGTGTGCTGCGTGGTAAAAGGGAGGCCGGGAAAAATTGCGTCCGCGTTACACGCCGGCGACAATGAGTGCCCTAATCGCGCATCTATTAAAGTACGGCGGACGACACGAATCTCTCGCTCTCTCTCTTTCTCCTTTCGACACGTAACGGGAGAACGTGTCCTTCACGTGCGGTAATATGCCCTCGTAATTATTCCAGTCATCTTCTCCGCGTAAAAGTCCGAAGAGCAAGCAGGTTTCCGAAGAACCGCCAGAGAATTTAACCGTGCGAGATTTGTGTATTTTCCGCGTGACTTCAGTTTTCGATTATATTGGTATTTCTGGGAGATTTATCATTAATTTGCATTCTTCAATTAATATTGCGCATGTCATCCTTCAGGGTGTCCAGCAAACTTAATGAAAAAAATTCCCTGACTTTTTCAAATTTTCCAAGACCAGAAATTCATTTTTTCCCTGACTTTTTAGTATTATTTGCATATATCTATATAATAAATCAATTAAACGTTAAATCAGGAAATCCTTGAGATATTTTTGTCAACAATGAAAAGGTTCGGAAGTTACAAAAATTTTAATCAACATACAATCTGCATTATGTACGATAATTGAAACAAACATGTCACTACAAATTATTTAAATAATCACCTTTTTTATTTATATTATATCAAATTTTTGAATTTTGTTTCTATCAAACACATTGAAATAAAATAACACGACGATGAAAATATAAATTAACGAACACGCTGTAGATGAATCGATTTTTAACAACACAGAAAATTAGCGTGCTGGGAGTCAAGGAAAAGTTTATATTTATTTAATAAAAAATTTCAAATTATTGAGACGAATATAGAATAACGTGAAAAAATCCAGATGAATAATAAAATTTCCTGACTTTTCACTGACAAATCCAAATTTATAAAACTCCCTGACAACGCCCGATTTTCCAGATTCCCCTGATCGCTAGTCACCCTGTCTTTATATTTAGGTTGCTCCAATGTTTTATCAATTGAAAGAATGATAAAATTAGATATGATAATAACTTTATAATTTTTTTCACCCCGAAGATCTTCCTCGGAGAGAAAGAATCAGTCGATCGATCGATCGATCGGAACCGAAATATATCGATCTCATATCATGTCGCGAATTTCGAAGACATTGTCGCCAAATTGAGTTATGGATCCGGCGGATTATCCGTTTTCGTGGGCACCGTAATGCTGGAATCAATCAGTGTACGGTAGGGCGACGGAATTCGGAGGCTCTTTTATGTTCGCGACATAAATAACTGGATAAAGGCGGAGCGAGCGGAAGTCTGTGCTCCGAGAGAACAGCCTCTCCGATTCAACTCTTAATGCTTCCCGGCGAGACACGGGCGTGCACCTGTCCCTTCGTCTTGTTTTCTCTTGTTCTATACCCTCCCTCGGCTGATAACTTTCTTATTGCCGAACTCGATGTCGCAGAGGGCGATCCTCCCGATCGAATCGAATCGCGCATAACAATCGCGATTTTTATCCGGAGAAAACGACGCATTCCGAAATTTATTGCACGACGCGAAATTTTGCGGCGGAATCTCTTAACTCTTATTTCTCACCCCAATATTTTATTATTCATTGCAATGCACAAAGAAATGAAATTTTGTTCTACCTATAAATTTTGTCTCAACGTCGAAAAGCGATACGATTTATTAAAGATTTGACTAATTATTATATTTTTTATAGTGAAATTTTTTTTATATTGCATCTTTCAATTTATAAATACTAAAAGCTATAATTTATTATACAAGTTATAAAAATAACTGTTTCTCGTATGCTTTCATATATACCGTATTCTTGATTCTTTTTAGTCGACGAGTAATGTAATTATTTCTGAATCTAATTTCTGTGTGTGAATTTGGTTTAAGCTCAGATTATAGTTGGAGATATGTATATTATCACTCACCATCTTTATTCATTCCCATTTGCATACATTTCTTCAAACGGCAAGCTTGACATTGATTTCGATGCGCCTTGTCCACGACGCATCTTCCGGTACCAGCTTGACATCTGCGCAAAAATATGTAGCGCTCGTTTAATATGCTATTTTATTATATTTTATCACATATAAACATATAATAAAAATTTTCGTTAAAATTTTTATAAAATATTTAACACAATCTTTCTCTTAAAATGTTTAAGATTTTTCGCGACGTTGTTTCAATAATCTACGTCACTACAAAAAAATATGTTACACTTCTATATTTGTTAAATTATCTTCCTAGCAAAAAATCATTAATATTATTAGACACTTGGCATTGTGCAAAAATGTTCCGGTCTCGTTCGAATTGTAGTGATTTTTATATCCTGTGCTATGTAATAAGGGAAAATAGGACGCCTTTAAGTCCGGGCAATGAAGTTGCGGGGATGCTGTCGTTGGATTGGACGAGATTAAGAGGGATAAGAAGAAGGTACGTGACCCCGGACGGTTCGCCTCTTTACGTTAGCCAGCTCGGAGGGATAACCGGGTTAGCCCAACAATGAAAGTAATCGAATTTAACACCATCTCCCGAAGAGTGCGCACCCCGGATTTCCGACAAGTGCGACTGAATTTCGTCGACCTTCCGCGAGGACAGGAGCTACGGAGTTACGATTGATCGTTGATGAAATGTCATCGTCAAGGATCGATCGATCGCCGCGAGGGATGAGTTGACGAACTCGTCGAGAAAGAGAGATTTGAGATTCCAAGAATTAATTCAATATCCAATTCTCTATTTATATATCTAACTCTTCTCTCATCCTTTTTTTAACTTTCGCATAATAATAATAAGAAGCGAATTATTTTCGAAAGATTATACGAATTCTCCTCTCTGTCTTCTGTAGTAAGATAACATAACAATGAAGCTCTATTTTTGCACTAATTATTTATAATTCTTTCCAATGAAATTACATGGTTTATTACATGTCGTTTATCTTCCTCTTAGCATTCATAACATCACGTTACATCAAAAAGATCGCTTAACAGAGGCCTATCGGCTAAAGGGTTGCAGCGAGCTTGCCGCTTCGCCGACGACACCGTCAATAAACAACATACACATCCATCGCATCCAGCCTGCATCCGACAACGCGAAGTAGGGCGATCCGACGGGCGTGATAACCGGCAGCACATGCTTCCGGTAATTCAATGAGGTGAACAATGCCGCGGGGCCGCTCGTAGAACAGAGAGATGCGTAAATAAATGTATGATGTGGTTCTGAAGGGTGAATGCAGAAAGGGGCCCGCGTCGAAGGGGGCCAGATGGGGAGTCCTGCGGATCTCCGTTGGGGTGTGAACGCAAATCAATTTGCACGACGGACCCCCGTCGACACCATGCCGAGGGACCAAGTTCGGGCCTTTCGTGTTACATGTTACATCGCCTCGGGACAAGATAGCGCGAGGCTCCTTGTGACTGACGTTTGTCCAAATCGCGCTAACAGCGGTCCAGCCGCCGGCAGAAAATCTCGGAAGCGTCTGCTATTCATCTGTGTGAAGTGAATTTGTGGGAAGGATAATGATTCCATGAGTGATAATGGATGTGATTAGGCTGATAGGGTTTACACTTTGTTATGCACGCGATGCATCGTAAAATGCAAAATTCATTAATAAAGAAATATAGTTTTAGACAATATCGTATAATTATAATTTCTGCAATAATTTTTTAGATTTCGAATATTTTTCTGGAACCTTTATGATGTGTATTGTAAGAGAAAATTTTTTATAGAATTCTAAGACCCATTTAAATATTATAAAATTCCCTCTATATCGTTTCTGATATTATTTAGATCGCAAAATACACATCATTCTCTATTCTGTAAAATTGATTGAAAGTTTTGGTGTAAATTTTTGTCTCGAATATTCGCCGCGATGAGATAGATTGCACGAGGATCGACAATCTATATCGGCGGGCGACGTTTAATTTCATCGTTTGTGAAAATAGGAGGAGAACGAGAGAGAAAGAGAACGGCGTTTCGCTCCCGTCTGGACGGCTATAACGCGGCAAAAGATTGAAGAGCCTCCGCACAGATAACCAATTACCCGTGGAGGGGAACGAGATGCGACAGATGCGTCCCGACGCGATGCGCCACGACGGCTCGGCGCGCCGTCCACAATCGCCGGATTAGCGCAAATCCTCACGGATCGGTTAGATGCAATTAAGTGCATCGTGCGTGGATAAGAGCGACCGAAATGTTCGCACGGACTCCCGCGGGGCTCGCACTTGAACTCTGCACGCAAATGTCGCTACTCGAATGACAAAGCCTCAGCTTCCTTCCTTTTGTTTCCTCGTGTTCGACGAACTTTTCACAGAGATAACATTTGTATTTTTTTTTTTTTTACTAAATATCTTTAAACGCCTCCTCACTTTTGCATGTGTTAAGTTGTGCGTCCAGTAATTTATTTTTTTGTTACCCTGATGAATGTAATATTATAAATTGAAATAATTAAATACATTGCCATCTGTAAAGCTAAATTATTACATTGCTTTATATATCTTCTAACAATTAGAAATGTTAAATAATGTTAATAATGAAAATAATAATGGAAATTGCAATTTAGATTGTGCATTATGCGCGTATAAGATGGGACCTAATTTGATGCTTTCGATACAATATTTGGTAAGAACATTTTGATGCATAAATATAAATATAGATTCGGTCTGGTTGAGTAAATAAGCATCCATGGTTCTCTTTCTTTTCTTTTGGGAAAATTAAGAAGATTACGTTCGGATCTGTATCAATGCTTTAAAAAATATACATCAACTTCTGTGACATCGTAAAGCAAAGCAAAACACAATTTCCGTCGCAAATCGTTAACGTGCAATGATAAAATAATCAGAGGCATCTTACATGACAAGCCAGATATTGTTAAAATATTAACTTTAACGTATTCGATGATTTTTACGTCTGCTCAAAAACATTATTAATAATTTATTATAGAATCTATAGCTACGAGAAAATTTTTTTGCGCGATTTTTAAATCTCTTATCTATTAACATTTTTATGAATATTTTAAAAATAATTTTTATATACATATATACATATATATATTATATATAACTCATTTCTAACATATATCATAAATTGATATAATATACCTTAAATAGATATTTAATACATATTCACAACAACCTTGTAAAATTTCATATATTTAGCAAAGTATCCCCTTTTTTATAATAATAATATTTTTACGTTGCGGAATATATCTCGGCCCCGATGAAGGGAGATGCTATTGATTGCCGCTCGGTATCATTCGGGGTTAATATCGAGTTAAGCATTCGTGCGGAGCCATGTGTGGGCCAAGTCGAGCGGGCTCATCCTAATACCGGGCCGCGACACGAGGGTTGCGCGCATAATGTCGAATCCGTCCGGGGGCCCATCGAGAGCCGCACCGTCACCGCACCGGTGGCGAATTATACCCCGGGTATCCCGGTGGCAAAGCCGAGCCGGTATCGAGGAACTATTACCGTCCCCCGGAATGGCCATCCATCTCCATCGATCCCGCTCTCGAGAGCCGGAATCGTCCGTCCCGTTTCGTTCTCGATCCGCGCGCGCACTCGATACGCAAACTATTAACCCTCGCAGGTTGCCCTTGAAAAATGAACACGCGCGGGCGAGCGTGATCGAAATGCAAAGCGAGAGCGATTCCGACGATTCGCCAAAGTGCCGCAACCGACTGCATGCGATACGTTACAATTCTTTCCTCGTCGCGCGATCGAGTTGCCGGACTGTTAACGAGTGCGTATATCGAATGAACTATCGTCACGTTTGACCGCGATGAATATCGTTATCCGATCGCGTGCCTTGCGATTTTGTTCTTGCATCGTATGTATAATCTCTTGTGTAAAAATCGTATCTCACAATTTCAATCGATTCAAATTCCATTCGTTGCACAACCCTATGTAGCACAACATATCTGAAAGATATTCAGAGAATATTCAGAAGATATCCATTCGAACATCCTCGGATGTTATGTGAACTTGATAAATAAATCAAAACGACTTAACTGGCATGTCAATTCTTTTAATTAATATTCGATGTACAACGTATGTGAACGTCTTCGGGATATGCTCGTGCTGTTAGGAAATGTCATCGCATACGCATTCGTGTTGTATCATCTGCATGAATCTGCAGAATTACGTTAAGGAGTAGAAATACCGTTGGATGAATAATAATTAATCCCAATCACATTCCCTCTGTGGTGTCAACGGATATAACAACAGACGAGCGACAGACGAGCCGCCGTTGCCTAAATTAAGTCAACTCGCACTCATCTAGTGCATCTACAGCAAGCATGCAGTTGTATTTATTCGTGCATGCATTTTCCGAAATACATTTATTTAAAGTTGAAAACATTACCAAAAATTCTTCTTCTCTCCATAATTGATTTTTCACCAAATTCGATCTCGTCGAAAAGGAAAATCATTTTCCGGAGCGCCTCACCTGTAAATCAGCTTCCGTCTGACGCTCCTCTTGAAGAAGCCGCTGCAACCGTTGCAGGCGAGTATTCCGTAATGTTTGCCGGAAGCTGGTGTCCCCGCAGACCACGCATATCAGTCCGAGGCTTCGCGGCGGTTTGCTGCCGTGTTGCGGCTGCTGC